AGAGTTTCATAGGGTAAGTAAAAGCTGCACACACAAAAGCAAAGCAAAAGAAGGCATTAATTCACTGCTCCCCATGTGCAGGAGATGTTCAGCACCTCCAGGAGAGCAGGGACACATCATGTGTAATGGTGACTTGGGAAGATAAACACCATCACTCCAAACATCCTCCCCTTCCTCCTCCTTCCTCCCACTTTACACACTGAGCATGATGTCCTATGGTATGGAATATCCCTTTGGTCAGGTTGGGTCACCTGTCCCAGTTGTCTCTCCTCCCAACCTCCCATGCACCCCCAACTCCCTTGGCAGTGTGGGAAGCAGCAAAGGCCTTGGCTCTGTGTGAGCTCTGCTCAGCAACAACAAAAACATTTCTATATTATCAACCCTGTGCTCAGTACAAATCCAAAACACAGCCCCATACTAGCCACTGGGGAGAAAATTAACTCTACTCCAGCCAAAACAGCACAAAGAGCTACAGGATTTTGCTGCTCTGCTCATGTCAGAAGCTTCTGTCCCTTCTAATTTGCCAGCACAGCCAACCTGACACCTCTCCCTCCTCCAGCTCTAAGATGACAATATCGTAGGAAAAAAAGGGGAGGGGGAACAAAAAAAAAGCAGGATAGGAAGGCAGCTAAACCAGATGGCTGTGACAGAAGTGGGCCAGGGAGCAGCCACACATGCAGTTGTGCCAGGGGCTTTGCTCCTCACCAGCTGGGATGCAGTTTGGGTAACAAGCTCAGCCTGGACCTGCAGCAGCCAGAGCTGCGTGTATGCCTGTGCCCTGAGACACACACACCAGCCTGAAGCCACCACCTGTCTGCTCTAGTTTGGTGTAAGATGGATGCTCTTGCCATAGCAGAGAGACTGGAGTCAGCAGTGAAATGAGGAACACCAAGGAACACGAACCGCTCAGTCATTCCAACCACACTAGGCTTCCTCCAATTGATGGCAGCTCGTTACCACCTCTCTCTACTCCGTGCCAGGCTGCCCAGATGGTGCCAATTCATTTAGACATATTTCTTGGCTCATCAATTCAGGCAGACAGCCTGAAAACCATCATTTTAGATAACTGAATTGAGGTCAGCACAAGCATTCAGCCAGAGAAATACTGAGCTACCACCGATCGTGTAGTACAGCAAAGACCACTGACATACACATGTTCTGCTCTTGGATTTCAGTCTTTGGGGCAGCCACTCCAAGGCAAAAATGAAGGGTTTAGAGCAGAACAAGGGAGCTCCGTTTGTTTAACGTGGCCCGTGAAATGAATACAAAGCCATTGATCACCTGAAGGGGAAGCACCACAAGAGAAAAATGAGCCATGTCAATACAAAGGATGTGTTTATGGAGAAGTGAATCACACAGAAAAACACACAGGCAGGACCAAAAATACAGTACAGGTGATGAAAGGGAAAGGAGAAAGACTGTGCTGATGCTGCTTTCCATCAGCAAGCAGCCAATAGAGCCTTCAAGACCAGCACACAGCTCCTACTGCAGGGGGGTCTGGTGCCCTGTGAAGGTGTCCCCTGTGGTCAGGGCAGGGCTGAGGCTGTGCCTGTCCCAGGTCCTCACAAAGCTTCACACCATCACGGGAGAGAGACAGGGAGCAGCAGCACATTTCTTTGCTCCCAGAAGCACACATAGCTTTTGAAGCCATAACAAAAGCATGAGAAATGCAGTTTGCTTTGAGTCGAGCTGGGTTTGATTCATTATTAATAACAATAATGTCCATCTTCAGAAGATGCAGAGCAGGCTCCTCACAGCAGAGGCCTTGGGGGAAAGGAAAGGATGATCTAGCTATAGCAGTTTTAAATTAATTCCTGCCATCTTTTGCTTTTTAACTCCTCTCCAAAATAGACAACTCAGCCCCAGTGGGAATAAGCATGAAGCAATTCTCTGACTCTTTGCTGCAGTGTTTATCTCACATGTGCATGGCTAATCTGAGCCCTGGTCTTTTGTAACTGCTGTGAACCTACACAGGTCCCAGGGGCTTTCAAATCAGGCTGCTGATCCCAAATTTAGTTGTATCAATTACATGGTCAAACCTTTGACACGCTGCAGTTACCACCACCCTAGCTCAGGCAAAGAGCAGATACACCACCACCACTTCCCTAAATTAAAGGCTAGGGCAGAGCTGTGCATCTAAACAGCTATTACCATGATCTCATGGGGAAAGCAGCCAAAGACCATGGAAACCACTCCACAACTGGGCACAACTCCCACTTGCCTCCATCCCCACTGCTGACCTCAGCCCTGGACACCAACAAGTCTTTCAGGTTGTCCCCTCTGTTGAGAAGACTTCCCTAATGACATGGAAGCTAAGGAGGTGAGCAAGGCTATTTCCCAGATCCTGGGAGAAGCTCAAGTCCTGCTCCTGCAATTGGTGCTGCCCATTGCAGCTGGACACTGTGGGCAATCTCCACCCCTGGAAACTCAGCCCTGCAGCAGTTATTCAGAGGTTACTCATCAGATTTGGGATTACCTAGTCCCATTGGCCTGTGAGGGCTTTGAAAAAAAAAAAATTGAGATCAGCCTGAGGATTAACTATTTGTTGAGAACAGACCACAAAGTAGCTTATCTCATCAAGTACCTCAACTCAGGTAGCAACAGATGGGGATGAGGATTGTGAGTGCCCTGAAATCTGCTCAGTTCAAGGCTCTACCTGACTTCCTGATTGCTTAAGGCTTTAAACAGGAGAGCTGGTGGCTGTTTTTAGCATTCACTAGCTGAACCCTGTGTGGACACTTCATGTCCATATCCAACCCATGGGATTTACCAAGCTCGTTGCCTCAAACATTTCACAAAGGCTGATGGTTTTCTGCTTACAGGCAACATACACCCAAAAAAAAGCTGCGAGTTCAACAGCACAAAGACCAAATTGGCTGGTTCCCATTCACTCCACTGGATCTCTTTATGCTCAGCTCCTCAACCTCCTCCCATCCCCAAGCAGCTCTAATTGTTCACATTGTTTTGTTAAACCTCTTCCCGGAGAGCTTTGCGTTCCCTCTGCCTCTTATTGTCACCCCAGACCTCTCTTGAATTAGGCAATGTAAATTCCTAAATACCTAGAGGCTTAGCAAAACAGCTCTT